TTCTGCGATTTACTGAGTATCGAAGTTGGCGGTTCACTGGAAATTACGTGTTGCCGTCGACTTTATCATTACTATGTAATAACTTCTTCTTCTATTTTTTTTCATTCGCTGTAAACAATTTCCGCCTTATCGCGCCCTCGAGTCTAGCGATAAATTCAATTGTTCGACCGCAACACATTTCCCGCCTCTTCTGTGCCACATTTTTATTGTTTCTGTTTGTGATTTTTTTTAACCTCTTCTCTTTTCTTTCTCTTCTGTTGATTCTAGCACCAATAAACGCGAATAAACAATTGCATCAGATCCGAACGGAAACCGAAAAACGCCTTTATCAGATAGCTGTCGTCAACGTTACAACCTCAGCATTTGTTTATGAACGAATTTATGCAACCAAACTTGCTTATCGTTGTTACAACAATAACAATTGAATTTTGTAATATTTGTAATCACAATTTGACATTAATTAGATTTGTACATTTATATATAGTGATGATCATTACGCGTACAATCGTAATCAATCATTTCTTTCATATAATCAAATGCATAGGATTTTGTGAAATCAATACCTGAAAACTTAATGTCATAATGACAGATGTGTCAAAAAAAAAACTGCAATTGTATAATAGACAGTTTGCATAACTAAAGTCAATCTGTCACAATGAGTTTATGACAGTTGTTTGTATCTTATTTTACACAATTTTCAATCTTTACTTGTAATAATACTAGATTTTTAAATGAAACAAATTATATAATGTTGTATTAATGGTGTATCAACTGCTATCAGTTGTTTCATGTAATGTTGCAGCTGCAATTGGAAACGTTTGAGAGAGAAAAAAAATGTTGGAATGCCTCCTGTGAGGATTGAACTCACGACCCCTGGTTTACAAGACCAGTGCTCTGCCACTGAGCTAAAGAGGCTTCGTGGAGATGCCGGCCCCACAGGTCGCATTCCGATCGCGCGCGCCTTATCGCATACCAACCTTATCGCAACGTAATCATCATGGTTACACAAATAGTTGCCAACCTTGAAACAATTCGGCTACCTGATTACGTGCAGCTGCAATTTCGATACACCTTTTGTCCCTCCGAAATCCTCCAAACACCGCACCTCTTCAACATATTATCGAACATGCACGTGCTTCCCATTCAGTCGTCCTGAAACAAAGGTCCTGACGGAGTCCTGCGCCGCAACGCGACCAACGTTTTACTCGAATATCGCACAGAAAAACGTTTATTATTGGATCCGATTCGATTCATAAAGTCGTACACAGCGACGGGAACAATGGACAAACGTCTGTTTGTTAGCGAGAAAAACAAAACGTAACAATCGAACTACGTATATTAATTGAGTGTTTACAAATTTGCGAAACTTTTAATTAAGGTTTCAATTCAGTTTCATTCATTTCTATTTCAAAGAAAAAAACAAACAAAATAATTAAAAGATATACCAATATCAAAATTAAAATGTCAAAATTATAGTTTTGACAACTACAGAAAATGTCACATTTCTTTTGTGTGACATATTAATGTTGTTTGAACGATCGTCATGGCAACGACAATTGATTGTGTAAACTAATAAAAACAAACATAGTTATATTTTCTTCGTCGCCATGGAAACACAAAAAAAATGATTCACGTTTATTCATTGAGCGATTTCAATTTGCAACAGTTTTAATCAAGACACAATTATAAACGTCATCAATGATAATTTGTACAGAATGTTAATGTCGTATCAACGATAGTCATGGCAACGACAGCTGGAAATTCGATTAAAGCGCGAAACAATTGCAAAACTAACAACAATATCAAAATTAAAATGTCAAAATTATAGTTTTGACAACTACAGAAAATATCACAAATTGTCACATTTCTTTTGTGTGACATATTAATGTTGTTTGAACGATCGTCATGGCAACGACAATTGATTGTGTAAACTAATAAAAGCAAACATAGTTAAATTTTCTTCGTCGCCATGGAAATACAAAAAAAAATTAATCACGTTTATTCATTGAACGATTTCAATTTGCAATAGTTTTAATTAAGACACAATTATAAACGTCACCAATAATAATTTGTACAGAATGTTAATGTTGTATCAACGATAGTCATGGCAACGACAGCGGGAAATTCGATTAAAGCGCGAAACAATTGCAAAACAAACAGTGTTAAATATTCTTCATCGTCGATTTCTTGATTGCAATTTGAAATTCTAATTTTGTCTTTTTTTTTTTTTCAAATGATCATTGAAATTCGATTCGGAAAGTCGTTTAATTCCATTATTCAAGATTTCTTGATTTCGTATTTCGTAATTTTCTTTTTGTGCGACTATTTTCTAAGTGATTTTCCGCGAGAAATCGTTTCCTCTACGTAATTATGCAACGCGTTTATATTTAATCCGGGTGCTGTTTATTCTGAATGAACGGGCGGATGTTCGGGCAGAAAACAAGAAAAATAACGTAAGGAAGAGAGCGAGAGGCGCACTTTATTTGCTTTTCGCGATTCGTAAACCGAATCTAAATATAATCTAAAGAGAGCGCCGAGTTGAAGGTGCAGCGACAACCGTGATTTCTATGTATGTTATTTGTGCAGTTACGTTTGAAGTTTTCCAATTTCATCAAAACGTTACATTCGCAACGATTAATGCGTGAATTTACAACTAAAATATAACTAAATTTAGGTTGGTAATTTTGTTTATAACTTAATGTTTAATTTGTCTTATTGAAACGCTAAATAAGTTGGCAACAATTACAATGAGCATGGATTGTTTTATTACCAACCACAAAACATTTGAATCTAACGATATTAATGATTTTATCAGAAACTATAGTAGATAGAATGGATCTAAGAAATGCATATGAATGTTGAATTATTGTGTATTTTTTTTGTTATTCTCTAGTTAAAAAATTTCAGTTGGCAATTATATGATGATAATAACACCAATTATTGCAAAGGCAGGAAGCGTAACACAAATATTACTGAGATGCCGGCGCGCACACATACAAAATTTTGCCAACCTCGACTCCACCAAAGAAAACGAATACAAAAATTAAATTCTTCTAAAATATAACTAAATTTAGGTTGGTAATTTTGTTTATAACTTAATGTTTAATTTGTCTTATTGAAACGCTAGAAAAGTTGGCAACAATTACAATGAGCATGGATTGTTTTATTACCAACCACAGAACATTTGAATCTAATGATATTAATGATTTTCTCAGAAACTATAGTAGATAGAATGGATCTAATAAATGCATATGAAAGTTGAATATTTGGGGAATTATTCTCTAGTTACAAAATTTCAGTTGGCAATTATATGATGATAATAACACCAATTACGGCAAAGGTAGGTAACGTAACCTTGGCAACGCTACAATGGAAACATGGACAGTTGTTTATTGTTGCCAAGGTATCAAATCGGGGCATCCATAATGCACGGAACCCAATTGCGTATAAATATTGAGTGCGATTCTTTAACCTCATGGAGATTCGAAGAACCCCCACAACACCTCAATAATGTATTTGCGACGATGCAAGAAGACTCCCATCACTTATTTACCTCTCGTTTATCCGCCGTGGGAATTTACATATGTACAGAACGCTCCGCAGAAATTCCGAGGAGACAGAGAATTGAACCCTTCTTCGGCGGTGTCTATTTCTTCTCCACTTCCTCTCAGTGTTTGCGGGCGTCTCCAGAGAGGTTAAATCGACCGAACTCCACTCCACTCTCCACAACGTTTTACTTTTATTATCATCATCATCATCCGACTCGAAATGATATCCATCCAAGAATAGTAAAATATATATATATACGCGATGGAACGAAAAGAAGAAATTTATTCGTATTTTTTTTTGTCTTACATTTTACCGAATCCAATTTCAATTGAAATGGAGACAAAAGACGACAGAAATAAACGAAAGAAGAAGAAAAAAAAAAGAAAAGCGAACGCATCACAGGTGAAAGAGATGCGATCCGTATGTACTGCAGCCATGGCAACGTGTAAAAGGAGAAATAATTGAAAGAGGTTAATCAATCAGAGCCCTCTCGCATTGACAACTGATTCATTAGTTGGAAGTGCCGCAGGACAAAGCGAAACGAACAAAGGGTGAAAAAAAAACAACGAGTAAATAACATCGAGGAGATGAAACAACAGCAAAAAAAATTGTTTGCCTCCGCTGATCGAAATTGAATTTGAACGAATGTGAATAAATAATGTGATGTACGTTTACAGCTCGCTTAAATTATTATAAATAATGAACGTATTTTGTGATACAAACGACGTACTTTGAATTACAGCTAATAATCATGTTTTTACTCATGTTTAGATTATATTAATATACATTTGTGAATGAACTGAACTCAACAAATGAGGTTAATTATTTTGGCGACCAACGTGGGGCACAATTTTATAAATACTCGTAAATTTCTCTCCACTAACAATTTCATTTCGAATCAATGAATTAAAAGTGATTTTAGTAATAGTAAAAATTGTTTTCACACTTTTTGATTAGTTTTTATCAATTTTATAACTTAAAAAAATATATTTTTTTTAACTGAAAACAATGGTTACTATAAATTTCATCAAATTTAAATATTTTTTTTCTTTCATAACAAAAGTGGGTGTTGGTTATAATAACACTTCTTTTGTTTTGTTTTTCAGGGCGAAGATTGATTCCATAATGTATTTACCTGTTACGTAAAGCGCGCCGTAAACGTAGGTCTTTGTTACTCAATTTATATTTGTTTCTCTGTAGATAACTTTCTTAACAATTTTTCTTTTTCAGACACACTTCATCATTGTTTTCAGCACATGCACACTAGAAATAGAAAATCAAACTCACTGCTTCAATGAATAAAACAAACTATTACATAATTATTTTTTTTCGCACTTTCCATACAATATTTTTTGTTTCAGTTTTATGCACTTTCTCCAAGCATCAGACAAAAATTTCCATTTTTAACATTTCACTTGCAACAAATCGTTAATTTATATTCATTTATTTACCCATTGTTCGTGTGGGATCAGTTTAAGAAAATTTTCAGTATTTTTGTTATTATTGTTTATGTTTTTTTTTTCTCTTTTCTTTTTCTTGAAGGGAGGGAAATGATCTGCTTTCTGTGTCGTCTGCACCAGAAATCCCCGGGACTTCTTCTGCTTGTCCTCTGTGATTCGGTTTTTTCCCGATCGGTCTTCGTACTTTTCGAGCGGCAGGTCCACGTGCGGCGGACGCCACGATAACACTGAGCCAGCGTCGCGGCGCCGCCGGCCCCACCCCCGATCGATTACCAACTGTGTTATCACAAATATTACTGAGATGCCGGCGCGCACACGTTCAAAATTTTGCCAACCTCAACACCAACAAAGAAAAGGAATAGAAAAAATTAAATTCTTCAAGTTATAAACCAATTCAAAAACAAAAATAATAATAACAATCGTGATGAAATTGTGCTAAACTATAAATAATATAGTTAAATGTTAATTTGCGTTGGAAAAAGTTTAAATTTGTCAATGGTTAACGAGTTACAACGCTTCAAAGTTTTGGCGACCAACGTGGGACGCCCATAAACTTAGTAATTACCAATGTTACAGTTACAAATTATTGAGAAACGTAATTACTAGGTATATAGAATTAATAAAGTTAATTAAACTTTGATAATTTATCGAATTTTACTTAGATTTTCAGAAAATATTAAGAAAAAAATATTGAAAAAAAAATTGCAGAAAGTTATGAAAAATGTAATTAAAATGAATTTGTTTTGGAAAAAAGCTTAATTTTTTCAAAGGTTAATGGGTTACAACGCTTAAAAGTTTTGGCGACCAACGTGGGACGCCCATAAACTCAGTAATTAGCAATGTTACAGTTACAAATGATTGAGAAACGTAATTACTGGGTACATAGAATCAATAAAATTAATTAAACTTTGATAATTTATCGAACTTTAACTAGATTTTCAAAAAATATTTTAAAAAAATTGCAGAAAATTATGAAAAATATAATTAAAATCAATGGCGTTGGAAAAAGTTTAATTTTTTCAATGGTTAAAGAGTTACAACGCTTCAAAGTTTTGGCGACCAACGTGGGACGCCCATAAATTCAGTAATTAGCAATGTTACAGTTACAAATTATCGAGAAACGTAATTACTGGGTATATAGAATTAATAAAATTAATTAAACTTTGATAATTTATCTAATTTTACTTAGATTTTCAAAAAATAAAAAAATAAAATATTAAAAAAAATTGCAGAAAATTATGAAAAATATAATTAAAAATCAATTGCGTTGCAAAAAGTTTAATTTTTTCAATGGTTGAAGAGCTATAACGTTTCGAAATTTTGGTGACCAACGTGGGGCTCTAACTTTGTTTATTCGAATATTTCCGTTCGTGCTGAATTCTATTAATGATTTTAATTGTTATCTGATGTATCTAATTACAATACACGAGAATGAACCCGAAACAAAGCAATTGTAATTAACAAGAGTTTCCAAACGATAAATAAATTGTCTTTATGATAGGTGCGATTATTTAGTAGTCTCAATTACATTCCAATTGAAGCTTTCCACAGTCTTTAGTTTAGTTTTTTTTTTGATCGTCGATTCGAGTTTAATGGGGCGCCGCGCAGAAAATTAAAAGCGGATTATGTAGGAAAGGGACGAGGGTGGGAAAATTGGAAGGGATGAGAAGAGGTTGTGGAAAACTATGTCACGTAATTAATATGGAATTCGGACGGGGAAAGGCGGAAACTAGAGGCGAACTTTCCGTGAAAGTAGAGTAACAAAAGGACGGGAAATAGAAAATGGATAAGAAAAAAAAAACAAATAGAGTTAAAAAGAGAGAGAAGGAAACGGGAGTGGCAGTAAGGGTAGTAAGGCGAGAGAAAGAAACGCTCGTTTCCTACGCGATATCCGAAGTTGAGATGCAGATTACACGAAAGTTTCTCGGGAAATTTTCCGGCTGAACGGACGAGGGAACTGTTCGCGGCATTACCGCGCATATTATTAGAAACTTAAGTCCAATTTAATCTAGTTCATATAAGTCTAATTAAAATTTATCTTTGTTAATACTTTCCTTGTTTCATATTTATTACAGCTTAACCTTATTTCATTATGATACAACTTGACCTAACCTGTTTTATTTCGAGTTAAGTTTTCAATTACACTTTTCCTTTATTGGAAATGACATTTTTATTTCATTTGACGTTTGTATAAAACAAAATGACATTTCTATTATGAATGATGGTTCTATGACGTTTATATAATCAATGACGACCGCTCAAATTATCATCAAAGTAGAAACAAAATAACATTTGTATTGTTTGTATTTGAATATGCTATTGAAAATGACAGTTGTATTGAATTTGACGTTTGTGTAAAATGTATATAAGTTGTATTATAATTGACGTTTATATAACGACATTTGTATTGCAATTTGACGTTTCTATAAAGACTGACAGTCTTATTGAAATTGACATGTATATAATCATTGTTGTTGTTATTGCAATTAAATTTCATTATGAAATGACGTTTCTATTATGAATAATAGTACTATTATAATTGACGTTTATATAATCAAATTATCATCAAAGTAGAAACAAAATAACATTTGTATTGTTTGTATTTGAATATGTTATTGGAAATGACAGTTGTATTGCATTTGACGTTTGTATAAAATGTATATAAGTTGTATTATAATTGACGTTTATATAACGATATTTGTATTGCAATTTGACGTTTCTATAAAGACTGACAGTCTTATTGAAATTGATATTTATATAATCATTGTTGTTGTTATTACAATTGAATTTCATTATGAAATGACGTTTCTATTATGAATGATAGTTGTATTATAGTTGACGTTTATATAATCAATGACGACCGCTCAAATTATCATCAAAGTAGAAACAAAATAACATTTGTATTGTTTGTATTTGAATATGCTATTGAAAATGACAGTTGTATTGCATTTGACGTTTGTATAAAATGTATATAAGTTGTATTATAATTGACGTTTATATAACGACATTTGTATTGCAATTTGACGTTTCTATCAAGAATGATAGTCTTATTGTAATTGACATTTATATAATCATTGTTTTTGTTATTACAATTGAATTTCATTATGAAATGACGTTTCTATTATGAATGATAGTTCTATTATAATTGACGTTTATATAATCAATGACGACCGCTCAAATTATCATCAAAGTAGAAACGAAATGTCATTTGTTTGTATTATTGTTTGTATTTGAATATGCATTGTGAAATTGACACCTTTCAATTAAATTACACTTTTCTATTGGAAATGACAGTTATATTGCATTTTACATTTGTATAAAATGTATATAAGTTGTATTATAATTGACGTTTATATAACGACATTTGTATTGAAATTTGACGTTTCTATAAAGAATGGCAGTCTTATTGAATTTGACATTTATATAATCATTGTTGTTGTTATTGCAATTAAATTTCATTATGAAATGACGTTTCTATTATGAATAATAGTTCTATTGTAATTGACGTTTATATAATCAATGACAACCGCTCAAATTATCATCAAAGTAGAAACAAAATGACAGTTGTATTGCATTCGACGTTTGTATAAAATATATATAAGTTGTATTATAATTGACATTTATATAACGACATTTGTATTTGAAATTATCATCAAAATAGAAACAAAATAACATTTGTATTGTTTGTATTTGTATATGCTATTGAAAATGACAGTTGTATTGCATTTGACGTTTGTATAAAATGTATATAAGTTGTATTGCAATTTGACGTTTCTTTTAAGAATGACAGTCTTATTGTAATTGACATTTAAATATATTGAATTGTTTTTATTCCAATTGAATTTCATTATGAAATGACGTTTCTATTGCAAATGACAATTGCGTTGTAATTGACGTTTATATAATAATTATTGTTTTCTATTATAACTCAATATCATTGTGAACAGACGTTAAAATCTGGGTGTAATTAATTTACGTAAATTAGCGTAATTCATCGGCTTGAGAACAATGCATGAATTACACAGTGATTATTCGTTCATCTGAAAATTTGTTAATGCGCCCGTGAAGCGATCAGATAAATTATGACGGAACGAAGTTGTAATTAGGTTTAGCGCATGCAAATGAGGTTGCATACATTCGTATTCGAGTGTACACGTGGACGAAACTGGAACACGACAATTACAGATTTTTCGTGGAAAAGTGGGTAGTATTGCCGTTATTCAGATGCATTTTTCATTGGAAATCCAATCGATGTCTTGCCCGGATTTGCGACAATCGAGACGTGCACAATGCGTCACCATTAGATCGTTCAGTGAGCTGAAAGCGATTACCATAGCAATAGTTGTCATAACAACAAATTAAACGTAACCTCAATAAATTAATTGTCACAATTGACAATTGTATCGGTGAAAGTCAGATTGACTGTTTATTGTTGTTTTTGGTTGCCATAGCATCAGTTGAACAAACTAACCGTAACCTCAATAAACTGCAATCAGAAAGTGACAGGTTTTTTGTGTGTGTGTGTGATACTCGATTTTGTTTTGTTTTTCAAGTGCGCGCCTACTGAAATCGATCGGTGCGTGTCCGTGGGAATAAGTTATTGCAGATTGTCGGTTTCGTTTCTGATTTAGTGCGTAATATCGGGGCAATATATCTCGACGCAGAACAATCTGTAATAAAACGCTTGTCTATATCATCGTCATCTCTCGCCTTTAACGACGAGGAAATTGGTGGAGGCGCCGGGCAAACGGACGTGCACATGGCGCGATAATTAAACTTATGCAAAACTCCGACGTCGTTGCTCTCTTTCCATATCACCACTTTATCTATAACCTCATCTCTTTCAGTCGCCTACTACATTCTCTCTGCTCGTTTCACCGGAGATCCGAGAATTCGCCCAACCCCGTTCGTACACAGAGGCATTAATCAATGCAACAGGTTCTCTCGATTGATTTTTACTCGACTTTGTTTGCACCTCGCCGGGTCTACGAAACACTCTCTCACTCTCTCTTTCATCTTCGTCCATTACCCATCTCACTCACTCACTCACATACGCTGGCTGTTTGATTCTCTCAAACCGTGTGATCCAGAAATTTGACTATTGTATGATCTTGATTAGATTTTCGCAGACGACGGCGACATTCGAATCGTAATCAGAGCCGTCCTGATTAAAAGTATGACTAGGTGTTGTGCTCAAACAATTTGATTGGATGTAGGTCAATCGTATCAACATA